TTTTGTTCTATTTTCATTGGCTTTTAAGGGAAGAGAGTAGAAAAATGATTTTACTCTACTATCAGTAACTAGAAATCACTCTTAAGTATTATTTTATGATCCATTATCATCAGTAATGACCGTCAGGATGGTCAAATGTTCCCAAATCCGTTTTGGGGAAGCCTCTTCCAGTCAAGGTCCTATGTACTTTGACCAGTCTCCATTTGTCTTTGAACATTTCTTTGCTGTCTGGCACAGTATGTACCAGATATACCTTCTGCTTTCATTGCTCCAAATATGGAATGACCCTTTTCCTCAATGAGCCCTGGTTTCTTTTATTGGGGAATGGCACATACAAATCAGAATTTGGGTGCTAGGTATACTCATTTCTATTTAGGAGTCACTGTTTCTTTGCCCTTTTAGTGGACAGAGTTGAGAAATTCCTCTGATCCCCATTACGTATTTGGATCTTTATTCTGTTTATGGTGAGAACCTTCATTTAGTCTATCGCAGACTACACCTAAAGGAGTTTTGCGATTGCTACGTCGGTATCACGTCCAGCAACAAATCTGCTAAGTACTATTATTCTTTACAATTCTTTTTGTCCCTAAAATATATCTCACTAAAGTTAGGGTTCTGTAATTAAAAATTACCTCAATTAATTGTTCTCCCTGGTGTGGTTGTGTTACCAATTTGATGTACAGTTAGTTTCATTTGTTTCGGTATTTATTTGCATTTTGTTTTAGGGTTTGCTTTTTCCATCCTCTTTAAACTTAAATTTATTTTAAAATATGTAAAATAGGGGCACTTGGGTGGGCTCAGTCGGTTAAGTGTCTGCATTCGGCTTGGGTCATGATCCCAGGGTACTGGGATCGAGTCCCACATTGGGCTCCTTGCTTAGCCAGGAGCCTGCTTCTCCCTCTGCCTGCCACTACCCCTGCTTGTGTTATATCTCTGTCAAATAAATAAATAAAATCTTAAAAAAAATACATAAAACATTTATATGGCTCATAAAGACTCACCACTTCTATCTCCATTCCTTTCACCTTGTACGTCTCCTACCACTCCTACTGCCACTTTTAGAAAACTATTTTCATTAATTACTGTTTTGTGTTTTATCTCTCCTCTCTGTGTGTGTGTGTGTGTGTGTGTGTGTGTGGTGTATGCCTGAGTGTGAGATCTTATTTTCCTTCCTTTCTTAAACATAAAAGGTTGAGTCCTTTTTATATTACTCGTAATAAATTCTTTCTTAAAGAAGGAACTTCTTATTTTTTTAGCTTGAGGATGCTTTTTATAATAACATATTTTGTTATACTTGAAAATTTTTATTTATCATATTTCTTTGTCACTCTTAAACAGGGGGACCTGGACGATCTACTTTGCCAACCCCAGGAAACACTGCAGCTTTTCGTGCTTCCCTCTGGACCAATATGGAGAAACTTATAGATCATATTTGTACTGTTTGTGGACAGGTAAATATTTTAGAGAATGGAAAGAACATTAATTATGGGGGCGCCTGGGTGGCTCAGTCATTATGCTCTGCATTCGGCTCAGGTCATGATCCCGGGGTCCTGGGATCGAGCCCCACATCAGGCTCCCTGCTCAGTGGGAGGCCTGCTTCTCCCTCTCCCACTCCCCCTGCTTGTGTTCCCTCTCTCACTGTCTCTTTCTCTGTCAAAAAATAAATTAAAAAATCTTAAAAAAAAAAAGAACATTAATTATGGATTAATGCCTATTATTCCAAGTTGTGTGACCTTGGGCAGCTTTCTTAAAATCTGTGAGTATTCAAAATACCTACCTTAGCTGGTTATAATATATGTAGAGGCTCTAGCACAAGGCCCTCTTCCTTCCCTTGCTGTTTTAGTGCCTAAGCTTTACATTTGTTACATTTTCATTTTCAAAATGAAAATACCCAATTACGTACATTCTCTCCCTTTCTGCCATTTTTAGGTACAACATCTACAAAAAATATTAGCCAAGAAGAGAGATCCTGTTTCTCATATTTGTTTCATTGAAGAAATAGTTAAGGTATGTTTAAATGAAAATATTTTTATCTCTTTATTAAAAAATGCAGGAAGATATGAGCCAGCATTGTTTGTATTCTTACCTTATGGAATGGCTACATGTCAAATAGCCATAGAAATTGTATTTCTTTTTTTTCTTCTTTCTTCTTTCTTTTTTCTTTCTTTCTCTCTCTCCCTCTCTCTCTCTCTCTCTCTTTTTTTTGAGAAAGTGCAAGGTAGGAAAGGGGTAGAGGAAGAGGGAGAGAGAAAATCCCAAGCAGGATCCACACCCAGTGCAGAGCCTGATGTGGGCTTGGTCTCACAACCCTGAGATCTAGACCTGATCAGAATCCAAGAGTCAGATGTTTAACTGACTGAGCCACTCAGGCACCCCTGGAATTGTATTTCTTGACAACAACAAACTTTCTTTATAACATATGTATAAGCACAATTGTTTTTTGAGTAGATGCTATCAGTAATACTTTTTTTTTTTTTTTTAAGATTTATTTATTTATTTGAGAGAGCGAGAATGAGAGAGAGTACATGAGAGGGGGGAGGGTCAGAGGAAGAAGCAGACTCCTCGCCGAGCAGGGAGCCCAATGCGGGACTCGATCCCGGGACTCCAGGATCATGACCTGAGCTGAAGGCAGTTGCTTAACCAACTGAGCCACCCAGGCGCCCCAGTAATACTTTTTATAGACTAATTTCTAAAATGCATAAACTAATTTCTAATTTTCTGTCATATAAATGATTTATTGTAAATGTTTTTAAAAGTTCCATTAGAGAATAAGATGAAAATTTGGAGAAAATAAGATACTTAATTAGTGGTCATTATAATGTCTTATAAAGTCTTTACTGAAAATGGTGGGATCCATTCAGTTGTTAATTTTTCTTATAAAGCACATTGCTGTATCCCATTTTTCATATTCTGAAATTCTCCCTTCTGTCATCCACCAATCCACTGGCCTCATGGGCCATAAGAATTCCTTCCATGCATAGAAATCTGACTCTACGTTTTATTCATTCATCTTGATATGTTTTTAATAAGGAATAATCGAGTAATTAATTATTCAGTTCATCATTTAATCCTGACACATAAGTGTCCAAAGAAAAAAATTCTCTAAGTTTCCATTGTTACAGTATAGATCATTTCCTTTGTAAGTCCAAAATTTAAGCATTTTATATATTGTGTTGTGGATCTCCAGGACTACCCCCAAGTTTGGTGATTTGCTGGGAGGATTCATAGCATTCAGCGTATAGTTGTGCTTGTGGCAATGATTTATTACAGTGAAAGGACATGAATCAAAATCAGCTTCATGAAAGGAAAATCAGCAGTAGGGAAAAAGCATATAGGATGAAGTCCAGAGGCAACCAGGTGCAAGCTTCTAAGAGTCCTCTCCTAGGTCTCACAGACAGGACACCTTTAATTCCTCCAGCAACAAGTGGTGACAGCATGTGTAAAATGTCCTCTGGGGAAGTTCACCTTGCACCTATGAGTTCAGGGTTTTAATCAGGAATCACTTACTGCCTGGCATGTACCAAAATTCCAGACTCCCAAAAGAAAAGCAGCTATTCAACATACACCACATTATCTGTACAAACAGTTTAGGGATAGTGAGCGTTCTTATAAAAAAATCATGAGGACCCTCTCAAAATCCAAGTCCCAGGTACCAGCCAAGAACCACCCTTGCAGGCAGGCATTTCTAACTATAGCAATCTCAGACCTGCTGTGTAAACTCATTTTTGCACATGTACTTACAGTAGTATATACCCACTTCCATTATCCTGCTTCATATTTGGCTTTTAATTGTATGAAAGAAACAATAAGATGCTTTTGTCAGTTTGTATAATAATTATTTTTTTAAGAGGATTTCTTTGTCTTTATTCTTTGCATATTTATTTGTGGTTTTTGATTTGTGGTTGCCATTGGGTTTGTATATAACATAACATCTTCTGTATATAGCAGTCTATGTTAAGTGGATAGTTGTTGAAGTTTGAACCCATCCTTTACTCCTCTCCTCCCCACATTTTAGGGATATGTTGTCATATTTCACACCCTTTTATTTTGTAAGGTCCTTGATAAATATTTTACAAAAATATTTATTTTTACTGCTTTTGTGTTTCCTACCTTCATACTGTTACTTTAGTCTCTCCTTTTCACTGATAGAATCCCCTTTAATATTTCTTGCTTGGCTGGCTTAGTGGTCATGAACTCCATTAGTTTTTGTTTGTCTGGGAAAATGTTTATCTCTCCTTCTATTCTGAATGATAGCCTTGCTGGATAGTGTATTATTGGCTGCAGGTTTTTTTTCCGTTCAGCACTTTGAATAGATCATGCCACTCTCTTCTACCTTGGAAAGTTTCTATTGAAAAATCCCCTGATAGCCTTATGGAGTTTTCCTTTTATGTAACTTTGTTCTTTTGTCATGCTCTTTTTGAAGTTTTTTTCTTTACTATATTTTGCCATTTTAATTGTAATATGTCTTGGTGTGAATCTGCTTTTCTTGATTTTGTTGAGGGTTCTCTGGCCTCCTGGTTCTGGATATTTGTTTTCTTCCTCAGATTAGGGTCGTTTTCAGCTATTGTCTCTTCACATAAACTTTGTGCCCCCTTTTCTTTGTCGTCTTCTTCTGGAACTCCTGTAATGTGAGTATTACTGTTTGATGGAGTCACTGAGTTCCCTAAGTCTGTTTTCATTTTCCATCATTCTTTTTTCTCTCTTTTGTTCATCTTGATTTCTTTCCATTACTCTGTCTCCTAGATCATTGATTTGTTGCTCTGTTTCTTCCAGCCTGCTATTCATCCCATCAAGCATGTTCCTCATTTTGTTTATTGAGCCCTTTATCTTTGCTATGGTATTCCTCATCTCTGCATTAAGGGTATCACTCATATCTTCCACTCTTTTCTCAAGTCCACTGAGTAGTCTTATGATCCTTACTCTAAATTCTCTATCAAGCATGTTACTAATATCTGTTCTGCTTAAGTCTCTGGCCATGTATGGCCTTGTCCTGGTTTTTCATTTGGGACAAATTTTTCTGTCTTCTCAATTTGTCTAAATCTCTGTGCCCATTTCTGTGTGTTAGGAAAGTCAGTTATGTCTCCTGTTCTTGAAGGTAATGGCCTTATGAAGAAGAGGTCCTGTAGTGCCCTGCCATGTAGTGTCTCCTGTTCCCCAAGGCCTAGCACTTCCAGCAGTGTCTCTAGTGTGTGCTGCTTGCAATCAGCTTTTGTGACCTAGCCACTTTATCGTTCAGGCCAGTCATCGGCAGAGGCTGTCTTTTCCTTTTGTGGACAGTATTTGGTCCCTGGCTTGAATGTGGCACGTTTTAAGTAGGTGTGATCTGGTCTGCTTGTGAAGTGAGACCTGTTGGCACTGTTGCTGGAACTGAGACTCTGCAAAACTCCCAGGTTAGGAGACATGGTGTTGGCAGGGGTTTGGGCTGGTCTTCTGGGGGAGAAGGCCTGCTGCTGTGACTGAGGCGGGTGTGACTGGGAGGGGCAGTTCTACTGGAGTGGGAGGGGTGCAGGCTGGGTGTAAGTAAGTTAGGTAGGGAGTGTGGGCGTTGCCCTGTTCCCCCAGGTGGCCCTGTGCCGGCCATTTCCTTTGTTCCCGGTAGGGTCTCTCCATGAATGCTGCCTCTCTGGGACAAGCTCTGAGATGAGCAGATAACCTCCCCACTGTGTGCGCTAGGTGCTCTTCAGGTTGCTGTTTCCATGCTGTGTATCCACAGGTTGTTTACCTGCCTTCTTTTCAAGAACAGCTCCGATGCCTCTGAGCTCTCCCCAAGCCACATCTGCTGATCTCCAGAACTCTGGATTTAAGCCCCGCTGGCTGCAAGAACTTGTGAAATTCAGCCTCTCTAGCTTTCCCAGCCAATTGCTATGGGGACTCATATAGCATACTGCATAGTTATTAATCTCTCTTGTATAGTTATTAATTTTTTAGTTTTAGTGGTGGAATGGATAACTAATATGAGGCCTTCATGTTTATAGGCAAGCAAATGCACATGCAGTGTTATCATTCATTTCTTCTAATTTTGGTCGCCCTTCTACCCAAAGTAATTAATTAATTCTTTATTGGAGTGGCTTGATTTCAAGCTTTTACTATGTAATCCTTTGTATATGTTTTTACTCCTTTTTAATAGTTTGGCTATATTCTACTAGCAGCATAAGAACAATTATATGACACCATTATATTCAAGGGAACTAAAGAAAAAAACAAAAATAAAGAGGAATAGTGCATTTAAAGATGCTTATGTTTGTGATATTATATTGGATAAAGTTTCTACATACAAACTCATATATAAATTCTCATCAATTATTATTGGGAATGAACTCTGGCAACTTCTGTTTGCCAGATTTTAAATGCATGTGAATTACTACCAATTATTAAAGGATTATTATGAACAGGGATGTATGCTTTCCTTTTATTCAGTCTTTACATTAACTCACAAAATTTCTTACTGAATTAAAAATAAAACCAATAAAGATTGATTTTTCAAGCACTGTTCTTACCTATTTAAAAATATAGTCATATACAACACACGTTTATACATAAATTTTCATGTAAATTTCCAGTTTAGTTATTCTTTTATGGCAGTGTTTATGAAAAAAAATTTAAGCCCCTCTTGGAATTCATTATACTCATGTATATTCAAAAAAGATCAGTCTTTTGTAAAAAGTCCAAAATAACTTTTGATCCTAAATACTTGGGATTTCCAGGGCAAGAGAAAAGTAAAAAACAAAACCCTTAGCAAGAGAAAAGTAAAAAACAAAACCCTTAAAACACCTGTCACATATTGCAGAAATAGCACATAAATTTCACTGCATTTACTGTAATTTCTTTAGTCTTTTCCTTTATTGCAAAGCTATGAATAGATATTTTTGCTAATTACGTAACTACCATGTAAGAACATTATTATTCTAGTGAAAATAATTATCGATGGCAACAGAATCTTTGTAGAAAGTGCAGGATTTCTAGGATGATTGGAGGCCCCAAATAATGATCCTTAAAGTCTTCAGAGA